CTCAAGCACCTTTTTATCACGTTTGATGGGCTACTTAATGTGAATGCAAAATTGGAGACAAATATATACATGGGCATGTAAAAAAACACAACAAGAACAAATTCATATATGAAATATCTTCATCACAAGCATTAACCTCGTTTGCTTAGATTAACCTGGATCAGACAGAATATAATTTAGACCCATATGAAGGGTTGTGCAGACATCTTCCAGTGCCTTTTCTCAGCTTAGAAGAATTATGAAATCTGTATTCAACAATTATGCACAGACTTGCAAATACACTATTAAGTACATCAAGTTAATAAGGACTTTCTTTAATCAATGCACAATAGATTGGCGTACATTTGAAGCTGCAGCCTTCCTGGCTTTATTTCAACTGAAATATTTGGCTGCTTCAAGGGTCTGGTTTTCCCTCTGTGCTTTATGCGGGTATTTGAGGACACAAGTTCAGTCCAGTGGCATGACTTCATCTCATTAACAATGCATACTTCAGTGGCACTTCCTGAATAACCTAATAATATGGCTATTCTTTTAATTTTCCCGCTCATCGAGAGCCCAGATGCACCTGATTATTTTTTCCATTAGCCAATATATTTGTTTTTTGTTTATAACACGAATCAGTAATATATGTTAAAAGTGTAATGGTGGTAGAAGCAAAAATATAGCTGTCGTTTTTAAAGAAAGTAAAAGCCCAACACTCTGCATTAAATTAGTAATGTAAACCCTGTCTAGAGACCGTCTGTTTGCTGTACATTTTTTAAGATACAGCTTTGTCTTTACATTGTCTTTTTTTGCATCTGATCTCCTTCAGTCTTTTTGCAACCACCTTCTGTCTATATGCACTTTTTCCAGCAGCTGCTGCATGTCGTTGCTTAGGGTGGGCTTCCTGATGCTGACAACTGTTGAATGTGACTGTGCACACTGACAGGGTAATAAAGTAGGAGAGCAGTTGAGGGACAGGGACAAAGCTGTTTCACCCATAGCAGAAAGTGCCTGATAAGGGCCTTTATAAAAACATATTTAGGTAACCCTGTTACTATCCTAAAAAAGACACAATGAGGGACATCCTATTAAAGAATAGGCTAAATGCTTACCTGTCCAGTGGATGTGTCAAATAGGGTTCCCCCTGCAGTGCTCTGTGGTTACTCCCCCCCAGGCTGTACCTCACTACAGGACTTATTAGTGATAAAGGGTTTGGTGGGAGGAATCACAGCAACCAGCAGGGAACAAGTTATCAGACCCACCCAGCAGTGTCGGATAGCAGTGGCACCTGTAGATCTGGAAGTGAGTAAAGATTTATTTTGCCACCTGTGTATGTGTGTGTGTGTGTGTATGTATATGTATGTATGTATATGTGTGTGTATATGTGTGTGTGTGAACCTTTGAGCGTGAGATGATTGTTGGTGCCCAAGCCACGGAGCGAGTATAAGCAATACAGCAGAATTCGTTAAATGTTCAAGAGCAGCTGTTGTTAAAGTGTTTAAAGACTGGACTGTCAGCCGTAAATCTGGGTCTGAACGTGCGAATTGTGGCCGTCAGCGACTAGTCAATGTTAGGGCAGAACGGAGAGTGGCAAGACTGGTACAAGACAACAGAAGGGCAACAGTGCAGTCTCAGATTCCTTGTATCACCTTTCAACATCTCGTGGAGTCACGAGGCGGCCCAACGAAGTACTGATGGGGTGGTCATAATAATCTGGCCACTCAGTGTATGGCCACACACACACACACACACACACACACACACACACCTATCGTGGTGTTGACATTTGAGAATTTTGTGGATAGGTTTGCACATATTACATGTATATGTGAGCAGAGTGTGTGGCTCATTTTATAGTCTGTTATACAGAAAAAAAGAACTGTATGCTGGATGACATAAAACCAAAATGTTAGGTGTATGGCTAGTCCTTTTCATTTGTTCTAGCCTGTAATTATTTCTGGGTCCTGATATCTCGCGGTTTCTTCTACAATTGTACAAGGTTTTGATGGTTTTTCAAATTTTTAGCGTTTTTTATTTTTTACCTCTTAGGTTTCCAACTTAGAAGCAAGGTCTGCCGTGTTATCGTGGAGTGTTCAGATTGCTTCACAAAACAGAGAAAGTCCCACAGCTCTCTTACCAAGAAGATTTGTGTATGAGGTGACTGTGTCCAACAATGGCAAAAATGGAAAGTTCAAGCCTGCCTACTCGTGAGTACATTCCGCATTGTTCGCTGCTTTGTCCTGAACAGTTATAGGGCGGTGATGTCTTCAGTGCACAGAAGAGCTAAATTTTTACGTTGCCTAGATTGTGGTCAGAATAGTAATATATTTTTTTCTTGTTATAAAAAAAAATGTTACTAGATAGTGTAAGAGTAAAGACATTGTAGCTATTAGGGATGCACAGATGCTTTTCGAGTACCAGTGCCGATACATGGCATTTTCATGAGAACTACCAGGGATGCAGCGGTTGCAGCTGGGACTTGGCTCTGGTGCTCCACCACTGTCCTGAAATCATTAGTCTGTATTGTTTTAGAAAAACGGTCACATGACAAACAAAAATGTATCAGTACTCGTACGTTAAGTACTCAGCAAAACTGGTATCTGTGCATCCCTTTATTTATATTTGTAAAAACAAAATCGTACATTAAAACAGAGATGTACAAATCCCAGGAGCTCCGTGTGCTCCTTACAAATAACAGCTGCCTCCTAACTTTTGAATTTTTTTCTAGTCTAGTCTTGGAGCTCAAAAGTATCTGTACTTGTACCGAATACTGTACTTGTTATCTGTGCAACCCTAGTAGCTATGTTTGTAAAGTTATGTCTATCTCATTGAAATTGTGCTTTCCTGGGAAAATGAAATGGCTGTCTCTAAACCACATGAAGCATGGAACAATATGTGCAAGTCTCTTGCTTCCGCTAAGTGTTAGTAAAAAAAAAAAAGAAGGTTCCTATAAAGATTTTATTGCAGTGTCAAATCTGCATAATAAAAATAGAATACAACAGTATTTAGAGGTCACTTTTTCATATGCACACGTTAGCAACTATTGGTATCTTCATTATATTAGACCTTTTTTATAGCAGACATAGCTTGTTCAGTCCTCATATTTTGTTCCATCCCCTTAGTTGCATCACACAGTCTCACTTAAGGGCTACCACCAAGCAGTAGTGATATCCTGCTGGTTGGTGGTGGTAGCTTCATACATGCAGGTCCAACTTCCATCCAGTGTCAATAGCTAGCATTAAATAGACATTTTTGTTTGCTGGTCCTGTAAGATAAAGAAACCTGCATCTGTTGTATGCAGTGAGGATATGTACTAATTCTGCCTTCATAAATTTGTATTTGTTTTTATGTAGAGGAGAAGCTACAACATATACACTGACTGACCTTCGACCAGCCACAGACTACCATGTCAGGTATTTATGCTGCTAGATTGACAGGCATTTTATTATAAATAATACTTGATTAGTACTTGAGAATTTTTTGACTGTATATTTTGCTTTAGAGATGTCCCATCACAGTCAAAACCGACCTATCACCATATGTAGTTACAGTGGGTGCCAAAATGGCCAGCGGATAATGTCGTGTAAACAGAAGAAGTAACAAGGTCACCAGCACACCAAGGTCCACTTTATCGATCTTTTATTGACATTCGGATAAACATGGTGTCACAGGCAATTGCAACATCATAATTGTTTTGCCTGATGAAGGGGACCGCATTTGGTTCTGAAACGTTGCAAATGCTGTGATATCATGTTTATCCGAACGTCAATAAAAGATGGATCGATAAAGTGGACCTTGGTGGTGCTGGTGACCCTATTACTTCTTTTGGCTGTATTTAGAGGAATTATTTTGTACAACACTTTATATGTTCGTCAATTCTTTCTGAGAGGATCTTGCATTGCGATGTCTCTACTAGAGGCATGTAAACACACACTAGGGTCAGTTTGGTTAGAAGTTTATTAATCTACCAGTATATTTCCAATTGTTGGAGGAAGCAGAGCACCTGGAGGATAACACAAACAAGAACATACAATCTCCCTTTTCTAAACCTTTGGTCTGAGAATGTTTTCCATTTTTGTATTAGGTTTGTCCACAGCCTCCTCATTATTTAGTTCTAAGGACTATATCAGCTACAATGAACAATAACTTTATATAGGAATATGTCCATAATCACAGTATTTCAGAGAAGGTGGTTTCCTTTAATAATGTTTCTTATATTTTCTTTCAGAGTTTCTGCATCATGTCTGCCATTAGAAGGATCCATTTCGGAATTAGTGAGTTTTACTACCGAAAGCTGTGAGCCAGATTCGCCAGCACCACCAAAACTTATCACCCGAACCCGAAATTGCCTAAATCTACAGTGGAAGGTACGCACACACCTTTGCTAATAGTTTTATGTTCTCATCATGATGCCAGCAATTCAAATATTAACTAAAACACCAATTTTACATCTTTTAAATAAAATGTTAAATCCTAAACCTTCCATATGAAGTTATAAACATACATCTGTTAATAATTCTCTGCTCCTTTAATGATTGTACGTCCAAATACTAATGGGGAACCCATTTTTTCCAACTCTTTAATAAAGAACAGTTTGACAGGTCTTCTGTTTCGGAATTGTCTGGTCCTCCTTTGACAGCCAAGGTCTTTTGCGAGTAGACGTTCCTAGTCTTGACTGAAGTGCATTTTCAGTACATTTTGTTGGATTATCCACTAGAGACAGGACCCGTGACACACACAAGATGGTGTCAGTAGCTCCCCAGTGGATCATGTATAAACAGATGTGGGAATTTCAGGGAAAGGAATTAGGAAGTTTAGTTTACTGCAGAGCTTTAACTATCACAGTTGGACAGGAGGTGGAGGAGACCTTCCTTCCAGGGTCAGTGTCAACAGTAAAGGTCCCTTGAGGAATTAAACCTTGCTTTGTGTAGATTTAGACTTTGACCTGACATTCATTACCCACTTGTAAAATCCATTTTGTTTTACAGGCCTCAAATGACAATGGATCAAAAATTAATGGCTTCCTCTTGGAATGGGATGAGGTACTGATGCATGTTTAATCACAATGTTCTGTAACAGGCGGACTATGATTTTGATGTAACTTCTTTAGCAGACTAGAACAGTAGATTCAAAATCAATACATTTTCTTTAACTCTTGTTTTTGCACTATTTGCATTTATCTGTCAATACAACATAATCCCAGTACATGTTTAAGTAGCTGTCCCAATACAAAGAAAATAAGTGTTAAGGATTTAAATCTATCAATGTCATCAACTTCTTTTGTTAAATCTTTTCTGCAAGTGTAATTCCTGACAATAATTGATATTGCTCAAGTAATTGTATTCTTTTTTAAGGGTAAACAAGGGCCATTTAAAGAGTGCTACTTCGGTCACCTTAAACAATACAAGCTAACAAAGCTGTTGCCTTCTACAAGATATGCCTTCAGGATAGCTGCCAAAAATGATATTGGAATGAGGTATGCTAACTTTGTAACCAACCATAGTGCTCCTGTATAGTAAACTTAAACCTGAACTCCCGACAGATGTTTAAAATACACAAATAAAATGCATACAAACGAGCTGTTTTACCTGCTTTTGAAATTGTATTTCTATCCTTGAAGTTTTGGAGATCTAGACACAGTGAAGCCGGAAGCATAGCGCCACTTTCTCAGTTACATTTAAGGAATACAGTGGTGTCCTCTCTTCACCGCCAGCCTGCTGATTGGACAGTAAAAAAGTTGTAGTGGACTGATGAGGTCATCCCTCTGTTAACTCTTTCTCCTTCTCGGAGTGTGTTCCTTTCCTGTATATTTGTATGTAGCTTACCTGATTGGCTCCCAGTCCTGTCCCTTCCCCTTCCAGTCTTGAGTGCGGCTGTATAGGTGATTGCAAGAGGCTAATACCATGATGGATTAATTTGTATTTTTATTTAAAAAAATATATTTAATGATCTATTCAAATATAGCTGTGTTCATTTGTGTCTTTTTTATCTGACTGGAGTTTAGCTTTAATGATAATATCATTGTCTTAATATATCATAAAATTTTCTGTCTTGTATGTATATTTTACAATGTCTGGTACTGGCTTAGGATGTCTTGGCTGTTGGCCAGCTCAAAATGTTGTAGGACTTGTTTGAAAGCTGTGAGAATGTCACCAAAGCATTTATAGCTCGAGTTGCACGTAGACCATTGCTGGCCTTTTCAAAATGCTGGTTTCTGGGCGGACTCAGGCCTTGATGCGTTTCCAGAAAAAGCATGTAATAAGTGAATGACTAACAGCATACTATCAACATAGTGATTGTGTTAGTCACTCAGGACTTATCAAAACCTGAGACCCTGCATGGCAGCTAGCAATCAACAAGGGACGCCTATATTTCAGTGCACAATTCCTTCATTGAGAATATGTGAAAGTATGTACCTTGTCTGTTGGATGTACTAATATACGGTTATCCTTATTGCCTCAAATTTACCAGTCAGATTCCTCTCTGCCCTGGAAAATAGCATTTGTAATCTGACAGCTTTGTTCTGATTGGTGGTGGAGGAACAGTACTGACAATTTACACTAACGTGTTGATGCATGAGCACTCTAGACACGTGATTACATGAATACAATTACATGAAAGCACAAGTGTAAGAGCAATCTGAAGAAACCTGTGGTATTGGATTTAGTCACTTGTTCGTAATACTTATAGTAAAACAATCCTCACGACAGGCGATTCTTCTGACAGATAATCTGTAGAACTGGAATTGTTCAGCAGTCTTCATCAGGCAATTATTTTTTCATTGAAAGTAGAATTTAAAGTCAGGACCACATAAATTGCTAGCAGGCATTTTCTTTTGGCAGAAGACTTTTGTTTCCTCTTGTCAATAAACTACTTTCTCCTCGCAAATGTATTTCTTGAATGAACAATGCCTGTGGCAAATGTGCATTGAATATGCTCTCTTGCCATCTATAAGATGCCAAAGGAGGGTGCATAATGTAGGATGGTGCAAAAGTTGTATCATCACTGGCTGCACTTTGGCTGAAAAAGGAAAATTGCGGCAGCAGAAAAGCAAACGTGCCAATGACTGTATATTGGCAAAACAGCACAGTGCTTTTATCACTGAACTAGCGCAAACCTAGGTATACTATTTCCGCAATGTGCAAGTTAAAATGGCAAGTGCTCCTGTTGCACACTCGGAATTCAGTTCCTCTGAATGCACTATTTCGGTAATATCTGGCACCATGGGAAGTGTATTTTTCAAACCTATAATTTTTTGGGGAGGAGAAATGCATCACTTGATAAACGGTCATTCATTTGACATTATAGGGTAGCAGAATTGGTCATAAGGCTATCAACTGTAATTTTGTGATTTAGCTTGGGTTCTACCATTGCAGCATGTAATGTGAAACATTTGTCTTCCAGTGGATTTAGTGATACAGTGGTCGTCTACACAGCAGGGAGTGTGCCACCTGCCCCACTGCCACCAAGGCTCAGACAAGCGGGTATCACTTGGCTTTGTTTAGAATGGAGTCCACCCAGTGATATGACTTCAGATGAGACACTAACGTATATCCTTGAAATGGAAGAAGAGGGTTCGGTGAGTAATAATGGACACATTTTATTTCTGTTTTGTAGCTTGAGCAGCTGCTCAGTAATGAAAAGAAAATGAAGACTGCCATTGTGTTCTCATGATATTGGATTATTAATCAGCTCAGTGGTGGGTTTGTAGATATTTGTTTATAATTAAGTTGATATTTTTTGGGAAACAATTCTAAACCAAAATCTGAGAGCTGAAATGTAGAAAGTAAATATTTTCTTTATTTCAGGGTTATGGCTTTAAACCTAGACAAAACAGTGAAGATCTTATATGCACTTTAAAAAACCTGAGAAGAAATACTTCATATAAGTTTAGGGTAAGTTCATCCCTAATTTTATTGCGATTGAAAAATGTTATCCGTCTGTTTTCTAATCTTTGTTTTTCTTTTGTTTTAAAGCAAAACCTGTCCTATCAGTTGGGCTGATTCTTTTTTTCGTGTTGCCAGTTTTAATTTGGTTGGATGCCACTGACAGCACAACCTTTCTTTGCGTTGTCTTTAACTTTTTCACTTAGAGCTCATCACCTTGCATTTCCTTGTGATTAACTTAGAAAAATATAGGCGGCTTCTAATTGTATTCTGTAAATGGCACAGTGGTCTCACTATTTTGCTGCAGTTATAGTATTTCATGTGTGTGCTTTAAAGGATTGTGGTACTTGATAATTGTCATATTAATTAGCACTGCAACTTGAGATTTCAGCTTTAAATGGTTGCTTGCATTTTGAGATGCACTGTTTTAAATTTTTTTTATCAAGCACTGACATATTAGAATATGCCAACATGAATTCTCAAAATACACTATTACAACAGCCATTACAAAGCCAAATGATGTTGTCATTAAGCCCTTGTGCAGTCTCCCTAGTTTAAATTAATGACCCAGGAGAGTCTAGCTTTGCTTTGCATTTTTGGAAAAGGACAGAGACACACTTGCTACAGGGAAGCTCACGTTTTAATATAGGTTGCTAGCAAGATATTGTAGACAACCAGGCCCTTTCGAAACCAATTAGTTTTAGATATAGTTGGCCTTCAACTTCTAATGACTTGTTACTGTTTAAAGTACAGTTCTAGGTCCACTTGTCTGCACCAACCAAGTCCAGTTGGCAGGCCAGTAAGGGCTCATTCACTCCCAAGTCCATAGCTACTACAGGTAGGCACAATGCACACATCAGCATTTGATATAACTTTATTATTCCATGTGCTTCTTAAAATGCATTTTATTCTACTTCCAACGCATCTCTCCCTGGCACAGGGTTCAGTTGTAGAGTGCTCTACAATTAAGTACTGTGTATTAAACGCTGACCTGTTGGGTGTATAGCCTGTTTCTGTACCTCTTTCTATTGACAGGTTATGTAATGTTGCTGTAGATCTCAGATAAAGTGAAAGTATCAGTCATTTTACACGCTGGCATAATTCAATTCCTGAAGTGTCCCAATATAGAGCAACAGTGTGGTCTTCGAAAATATACCTTTTTTTAATAAATAATAATAAAAAAATTCTTATACCTAATTCAAACGAAAATAATTGCGGTCAATTACCGCAAGTCGTCCAGGTGTTTTTTTTCTAACTACCGCTGATTGAACCTTGCGATAATCGGGGCAGGATGGGGCCGTCGTACGAAAATCGTACGACGGTTCGATCATCGGACGAAAAGTTTAGTCCGATAATCGTAAGGTGTATGGGCACCTTTAGTCTTCTGTTCCCTAATGATCACTCACCAGGACTGTATTTATGGATGGTATTGTGTCTCGCAGGTATTTGCTGTAAACAGTGAAGGCAAAAGTAGTCCTAGTGATATAGTAGAATATACAACATCTCCTGATAAGCCAGGTCCTCCGTGTAAGCCGAGTACAAAGGGAAAGATTCATGCACACAGTATCAAAGTTATATGGGGTAAGTCATTTTTTTTTTTAATCTAAAGGAGAAGTTTGGGATGGATAGAATATTATGCATTCATATTTTCCCCTGATGCTTTAGCATCTTTGTGATGCTGCCCCGTACCAGCTGTAGACCCATAGCTGACTAATCACATGACCACTGATCAGTCTGCCCTTGGTCTCTGCTCCCAGTGGAAACCTGTTCCTTGCACAGATTCCCCCTTCTGCTCTCTGATCCTCCAGCACTCACACCACTCCAGCACAATATTGTTGGTATACTGCTTAACTGCGACTCTGCCTCGTCAGCCAACTATGGGCTGCCTTTGAGTCGCAGGAGTGCATTAGTAAATGTACTTCTGTGACCCAAAAGAAAAGTATAGACAAAAATAAAGGTTTGGCTTTACTTCTTGCCTGTGTAGGGAAAAGCAACAGGTACAATTCTAGCCTCTGCAGCTGCTTTTATGCACTTTCTGTTTGCTCCCCCACTATGATTGAGATTATGAGCAAGAAGAAGATGATGCGACTTGACACTTAAACGGGAGACTCTCCCCACCCCCATGTGATAGTGCTGGGTGCCTATAATTAGCTAGCTTTAAGCACCAGTACTGTCATTTATCAGACAGGGTAGTCAGTCACCCACTTTTCTTAAAATACCATGTAAATGACTTTACTTCCCCAGGCAAACTGGGGCTAACATTAAAGTGAACATGTTGCTGCTTCTTGTTTAGGCATAAACACAGGCTAATTTAAACATTTTTGTCCAATGAGTTCCGTTATATGGAAATCGCCAATAGCACAAACCCTAAGACTTACAAAGCCAAACAAGGGTGTCTTGTTGCATTTTAAAAAAAAACTGAAATACTTTGAGAAGGAGGCTG